GGCTTGAAAAGACCTGTGCAGCTGAGACAGAGCGTGAGGCAGGGGTCACGTCTGGCGACGGACAGAGGTGAGAGCAATAATAGCCTTGGTGCCCAAGAGACCACGTTTTCAGGCCTGCCCTTGCCCTTGTTAGCCACACGACCTTGAGCAGGTCACCCAGCCCCCTCCAAAAATCAGAGGGTGACTGTGGCACTCAAAGGGGATCTCTAGACGCAGCTCTCGCTCCGACTGTAACATACGGTGCTGTGTTCGCGTGGGAAAGCATTCCTCGTTGTGCTACCCTTTGCTCCTTATTTGCGTAAAATACCGTCCCCGTGGCTCCCCAGGGGGGGCGTGGTGCCCGCCGTGGGGCGGAGAGGCACACGGTGAGAACCACAGGCAGTGACAGGCAGAAGCCGTTGCGACACTTGAATCAGGTTGTCGCTTGTCTGATTCGGCCGCTGAATCTCACGCAGCTTCATAGCCAGGATGGACATTTTGGTAGCAATACGCGTGATTGCAGCAGCTAACGCAGCGAAAGTAGTTCACCACGAAAGGACCCCGACACTGAGGAGGTTGACAAGTGACCATGGGTTTGGATGTATCTGAAACGGCGGGGTGGCCGTCTCGTACCGGGACAGTGGTGTGCTAGAAGCTAAAAGCTTCCTTGGTGATCTCATGTTCAGTGCTTGGGCTTTTCGGTGTTCGAACATGACTTTGGAATGAACTCAGTTGGACAACCGAGGCATCACTGTGGCGTGCCGCATTCGGTCCTCGCCGGGGCCATTTCTGTGGACTCCCGGCTGCTTGCTCTGGGAGCATCGTTAGGCACACGTGTTTCGCCTCCCTGATGGAGCTGTGTGCTCCCAGATGTGGACTCACTGGGCTAAAGGGCATGTGCATTTGACAATGGAATCGGTCTTGTCGAATGGCCCCCGAGGCAGCTTCGGTGTGTGCTGCAATTCTTTAGAATGCACGGTTACGCAGAAGTTCTTCCTGATGTGGGAAAAGCCAGCGGAGGCCAGGAGGCGGGAAGCCTTCATAAGGCCCCCAGGCAACCAGAATGGCACTGTGTGCTCCCAGGAGCCAGGGCCCTTGTGCTGCTGCTGCGCATTGTGAGAGGCAGGAATTGGAGAAGCACTCTCCCTGTTGAGACAGCTCCCCAGGAGACTGCCAGGTGAAAGGTACCCCGTGGGGTGCTCCTGGTGGGCGGACTGCAGGTCACCGCACAGGCAGAAATCAGCCTTACGCAGCTCAGTTGGCTGGCAGAGGACACCAGGCCGGGATCCGATGGCCCTGTGTGGGGAGGGCAGGGCGGTCAACCTTGGGCATGCAGACATCTCCGACTGGCCAGGGATGTGCAGAGCAGAGATGAGGACCTGAACAGGAGGGCAGAGCACTCTGTCTCCGTGGGTCCCCTCTACAGCAGCCAAGGAGCTGAAAGAAGCTTTGTGTGTGGCTGAGTGAGTCGGAGAAGCCTGACCCAGGCGAACCAGCTTAGTTATTCCGTGAGAAATCAGAGGCAGGACAATGAGGGCCTTTGTTTGTGATCAGAATCCTAACTGTGATTGGGGCTGTCCAGGACCCGCTGGGACAGGAGAGACTCCAGTGTCCTGGTGGGGGGGGGGGGTATGCGGAGGTGCTGTGCAGTGGTGAGAGCAATAATAGCCTTGGTGCCCAAGAGACCACGTTTTCAGGCCTGCCCTTGCCCTTGTCAGCCGCACGACCTTGAGCAAGTCACCCAGCCCCCTCCAAAAATCAGAGGGTGACTGTGGGACTCGAAGGGGATCAGAATCTTGGAAATAGCCTTTCTCTCTTGGGTTTAAAGAACTAAATGATTGATTGAACAAGCAACCTTTTGAGATTTTTTTAAAAGGCAGCATTTCCCAAGGAGAAAGCCCGGCAGGCAGGAAGCGTGAGCTGAGGAGGAGTAGAACTGGAAACCCAGGGAGCCAGCGGGCCGGGTGGTGCTGCCCCGAGGGACTACAGTCTGGGACGGAGACAAAACATGAACAAATTGTTCTGTCCATCACCCAGCTCACCGCAAGAACGTTTACAAATACAATTGTTCATGATTACATGTCCTTGAACACTGATAGCTAGCTGGCCCCGGACTATGGTCCTGATTTCCTCAGAGACCCCAGGCCCGTTTCCTTCCAGAGAAAGGACCAAACGTTCTCTGGGCCTGCTGTCAACTTGATCGGAGCCTCGTGGGCCCATCCCTCAGGCAGAGGACAAACAGCAGAGGCTTTGTGGGGTCCTTGATTTCCCTGTCTGTAGCTCTTCTCTTGCTCTGTGTTGGGTGTCCCAGAAATCAAATGCTGGGCTGCGTTCACCCTGCGTCTGTCCTGGGCCCGCCCCTGGGCCCGGTCAGTGTGCGCTGCCCAGCTGCAGAGAGAGGGACGCTGACCCAGGGGCTGTGCCGTGGGCGAGAATAAGCCTCCAAAATAGAAAGGCCTTGAGTGTTTTGTTCTGTTTTGTTTGGGGGCAGGGGTGTTTGCCCTTGAGGAGGTCTGGAAGGTGAGGTCTGGAAGAGCAGGGGGCGGGGCAGATGCAGACCCAGCTTCCGGGGAAGCAGTTGGGGAGAAGCACGACCTTGGGTTAAAGGAGGAGCAGGGTACCCCGAGCGGAAATGACATCACAATGTGCTGTTTCCCAAGCGGCCGCCTGGGCAAAGGCGTGGGCTCGTGTCGGACAAGCGTGCTCTTATTCACAAACTTTGGGGCAGGAGGTTACACAGCGCTGGGGACCCCCACCCCCCTCCATAGGAGCTTCCAGGAGGCACCGTGCCCTCGGTGGTAATCAGCTGAAGCTCCAGCACCTTCCCTGGGTGCCATCCACAGCTTCAGTTCACAGGCCCATCGGCCCTAGCTGTATGGTCCTTTCTGTTAGCTAAACCCTATCGCGTCATTCTCCTGAACATGGCTCCCTGCTGCCCACAAGTGGAGGTCTAACCCCCCACCCCGACCCCACCCCACACAGCTGGAGTAGCTGGTCCCTCCTCTCTGTCCATCTCTCCATTGTACTTCAGTCACCCTGACTACTGGCTGGACTCTGCCCTGGCCTTGACTTCCCACCTGGGGCTGTGTTCTCTCCCTGGGGGCTGCCTCCCCTCCTGACTTTCTCAGGGCCCAGGAGTGTTAGCCTCCCTCATCCCTGCTCCTCCGTGTGCTCCTTCAGCTCCCAGCATCCTTTGCCTCACATTGTGCTCGATTTGTCTGTGACTGTCTGGGTGCCCCACCCAGCCCCCTCTCTGTGGTCAGGGACTGTGTGTGTTCCCCCTCAGTGTTGCCGCACAACTCCCAGTCACTAGTTACTGATGAAACCGTGAGGTGGACCAGTCACGTCTAGCAGAAAGCCCCAGGCCCCAACCTTGACGTGACCTGGCCCTGAAATTCACCCGGGCAGGTGCTTCGGTACCAGAGTCTCTGTGTGCTATCTAGTTTTCTCTCTTGCCCCACAGGTGCTTGACGTGTCTGGGGCAGACATGTTGGCCAAGTCGATCACCAACTGCCAGGTGGAGCTTCTGGAAAACTGCGGGCACTCAGTGGTGATGGAGAGACCCAGGAAGACAGCCAAGCTCATCGTTGACTTTTTAGCTTCTGTGCACAACACAGACAACAACAAGAAGCTGGACTGAGCCCCCAGCTGCAGCCTGCGCTCCACACACGACATCTGCCCCCATCTCCAGAATCCGACGTGGCCACCACTTCTCAGGGATCCCGCCCCAAATGCGGTCGGAGCACCAGCATCCCTGAAGAAGCTCGGCTCCCACCCCCTCCCGGGTTCCTACAGTTCCCCCGTGCTTCAGGGCCCCTGGGGAAATCCCAAGACCTTTTCCACACATGGAAACCCATCGGGAACAGAAAAAAGGAAACCCGGCCTGAAAACAATCTACCAGGAAGACATCAAGCTCCTGTCCCAGACAGGCTCGTGCAAAACAGCCACCCTGGGCCACGACAGGGAGGACATTTTCCGTCCAGCACTGGCCACACCCTGATACCCAAGGCAGCCCTCCTGTTGCTTCGCCACCCCCTGCATGGTGGGCGACTGACATGGGAGCATTCACGTGTATTCGCCGAACCCCTCTGGCTTATGTCTGATGTCAGTTTTACATAGATGCTCTTCTGAGAACGCAGCCCCTCCACTGCAACCAGGGAGGACAGCGGTGAGCTGGAGGAAATGTTTCTTCGCAGCCCGGCCAGCACTCTGAGCTGCTGGAGCTGAGCGGAACATGGGTGCTTGGTGTCTTCAGCGCCTACGTGTCCACTATGTCACCAGTGCACCCAGATCGGTCACAGGACGGAAAATAGCCAGGGGATGGGGTGGGGGGGGATTGGCCGGGGTTTCCTGGAATAATTTATTACTTTTAAAAATAGAACTAATTAAGCAATAATATTGTAGACATCTCTCTAAATCATCAAGCGGGAGTTCCACACACAAGCAACCCAGGGGCCTCTTTTCTATTTTGCTGTGCTACTGAAAACCCTCTGATGTAAAATAGTAGCTTGTTAATGAATTCTGTGAATTCTGTGAACAGTAATGTGATTACCAATAAGTCTCAACAGCTGTAAAAGTGGCCACCATGACAGGAAATAAATTCACTACGTCGAGATCAGCTACAGGCAGATGGTCTGTATTTCAAAGCTCCTGATTAAGTGAAACTGGCAGAATCGCTGTTAACTTGAAATTGAAGTGTGCTGTTTTTTTTAGTAAGGCTGGATCTGCAGGCAGTGGAAGTTTTGGCTTGGAGCTGCTTTTAAAGAAGTCACGTTTGCCATTTATATTCCACTGAAAATGCATCTTGAAAACGAAACAACAAACCTCACCAAGCCATTCCTTATGACCCTCTTCTGTGGCATTTAGTACCTACTTCTGTCCTAACCACTCCAGGAGTTTAATTCCTCCAAATCCTGTTATGAAGAGACTGTAGCCAGGTAGTTCTGGAAACAATGTCAGATGAACTTGTATCATTTAAAATGGGATTCTGGGCTAAGACTCAATATTTCAGTTTCTCAGAAAAGAGTGAAATATAGATCTTTTAAAAAAGAAGAAACCGGAAAAAAAAAAAAGAAGAAACCGGAAACTGTTTCAGACTTGGGAGATGCAGCTAAAGCAGTGTCCAGAGGGAAATTGATAGCCCTAGATGTATAAATTAGAAAAGAGTAAAAGCTGAAAGTCAGTACTTTATCTTTCCACCTCAGGAAACTAGAAAAGAAACCTACAGAAAATAGAAGGACCCCCAGGTTTCAACTTTCAGCCACACAAGAGACGTAGACAGTGAGTCAAGGCCGGAGGAAAGTACTGTCAATGCTCTGTGCCGTCAACTGCACGAGACGCAAAGGCAACAAGTACCCGCCATCAAAGCTGGAAGTCAGGAAGAGGTAGGGAAGAAAGAGAAATGGAAATGGAGAACCCAGGGGGGAGTGGGAGGAGAGCTGTTACATCGAAGGGATTACAACTACGTCACAAAACAAAATGTGTATAAATGGTCCAATGGAAAGCTAACCCATCCTGTAAACGTTCACCCAAACTATAATAAAATATTTTTTAAAAGGACTAAAAGGGTCAATAGAATTTGATGCCAGCGAAGATCAGACAGGCAGTGTTATAGAATGATGATGGATCCATAAAGGAAATTGAATATGAGATTATTGTCGTAGGCACTATCGAGTTGGCTCTGATTCATCACAGCCCATGTGCAGCAGCACAAAATACTCGCTGTTCCTGCACCATCCTCACAGTTGTTTGTCTGTGTGAGCCACTGGTGCAGCCATCGGGTCAATGCAGCTTATTGAAGGTCCTCCTCGGTCTCACCAGCCCTCTACCAAGCTTGATTTCTAGGGACCGGTCTCTCCTGATAACACATCCAAAGTCTGTGAGGCAAAATCCTATCATCTTGGTATTGGGGCTGTACTGCTTCCAATCCAGGCTCATTTGCTCTTCTGGCAGTCTGTGATTCAGTATTCCTCATCAACACCATAATCCAGAGGCACCCATCTTTCTTCAGCCTTCCTTATTTGATGTCCAGCATTTACACACGACATGGTTGAAGATCCTCTGGCTTTGGTGTGACAGAACGGCTTGAGTTAGTGGGTTGAGAATCACATCTGAATTAGCTCAGTCTGGAGAACACCCTTTACCAGTCTCGTCTCCGTAACTAAGTGGCGTGATCGCCACCCTTTTATTCCTTTTGTCTGTGGGAATGAAAGGGCACGTCTCTCGGAATGATGTGAGAAGTGAAAACATGGTACTACACACACGAAAGAAAATAGAAGGAATTACTATAGAGACGTGCAGAAGTCACGAGATAGAAACGACATTAGACTTGTTCCAAGCCCCTGTTTCTAAGAGCTTAGTGTGCTTCTGGTGGAGGAGGCCCGCCTCGGTGGGTCGGCTGCTGTGGTTTCCCCAGGGCCACCTGAGTACCCAGATCAGAAACCCTGCTCTGGGTTGAGTAACAGCACATCTGAAGGAAACCTCCCCAGGTTCCCACAGAGGAGCCATCCAGGCAGTGTGTGCTGACCACTGTACTGGCCAGCAGTCCTGCAGAGAACACGGAAGAGTCATTTGAAGCACACTTTAACGTGGGGTTTTAGGATTCTCCTTGGCTTTGCGATCCTGACCCTCACCAAGCCAGGGAGACTTGAGAACAGAAAAGTGTCCCTCTCCTAGCTCCCCATTTCTGGGAGTTCCCAGAAACTTGTGCGATGGGAATGTCTGTAGGGCTGACCAGGCTGGAGAATGGAGTCATAGCTCTGCGGAGTGCTGTCCTGAGTTTTGTAATTGCGACCCCTCCCTGGGCGCTCTCACCGCCTCAGGGCAGGTGCAGCCTCGTGCCCATTTTATAGCACAGAGAGGTGAAGACTCTTGCCCCACATCACACAGCTGACAAGTCGAGGGGCGTTGGAAGCTCTCTGTTTACAGTCAAAGGCAACAGGCAAAAGCATGACTGCTGTTCCCCCTCTTGTACTCTCGTTTGCCCGCCTCACCTGTTGAGAGGGAAGCTCTGTTGACGGGACAGCAGCCCTCCAGAAGCACCAGGACCAGGCCTGTGCACACGGCCTCATGCACACATCACCAAGGCCATGCTTGGCATGGGTTCCTGCTGGGAAAGGCAGTAGTCATTTATTCTGCAAATACTTAAACCCTCTCATACCCAAGCAGTAATCAGCTCACCTGGATTCCAGCATCATCCTGCTGATGAAGCAGCAGGACAGCCTGCCCTCCCCTTCCCGGCCTCTGCTGTCAACAGGATTAGTATGGCTCTCCCTTCCTGATACCCCAGACACCCCCTCCTAGCTCTGCAAAGGAGAAGCAGGGCTATTTGTCCAAAGCACTTGCCCTGGGGACAAGTCTCAGCTGGGCTTGGAGAGAGCCCAGTTGTAGAGATGTGGCCTTTGAAGGCGAAGGTCAGCACACTGAAGGGGTGAGTGATGGGGGCTGAAGACATCTCCTGGAAAGGCAGCTGCTTGAGTGTACACCCCCAGTCTCTGCCCAAAATTCTCGGGACCAGATGGGATTCAGAATGGAGAAACCCTCCAGTGTTAGAAAGGTTTTATGGCGTGTGCGCCACCCCCATCCCCCCGCATGTTATGCAACCCCTGGTGGGGTCTGAGGCAGCCTCACAGGATCAAATGCATTCCTGTTTCTGCTGGGCATTGTAAGAGTAGCCACAGTAAGTGGAGCAGAGCCTATAAAAAGCCTCCCTCTCTTCAGATTGAGCATGGGCACTGTTTTAGTTAGCTGGTGCTGTGATCATGGAAATACCACGAGCTGATGGCTTTAACAAAGAGATTTATTCTCTCTCAGAGTAGGAGATTAGAAGTCCAAATTCAGGGTGCTGGAGCTAGGGGAAGGCTTTTCCCTCCAGTCAGCTCTGGGGCAAGGTCCTGGTCTCATTTCAGCATCGGTGGGCATGACATACCTGGGAGCTCTCCAGGTGTCTTGGCATCCATCCTCTCCTGGGTCTAGGGGGTTCTCGGTGTAGAGACCCTCGGTCCAAAGGATGTGCTCTGTTTCTGGCTCTTCTTTCTGGGTGGTACACATACTCCTCATCTTGTTATCTGACATTTCACATTTAGGATAATGGTAAAACAACAACAAAAACCGAAATAAAAAAAAAATTCTGCTGACTCTTTTGCACATAAACAACAAACCTCTAGCAGTAAAGAACGCCAAGGTCTCAATGGGGTGCGTGACCTGCGGTCCCTGAGTGCACGCAAACAGGAAGCTCTTGTGCGCTGTAAGAGTTCACCACCTAAGAGGGGGCAAGGGCCACCGTCTCCTTGAGATGTCAGGGTGCTGGGCGAGTGAGAGGTGGGAGGCAAGGGGTGGGGTTTGGGGGGACAGGATGTTGCCTGGTGTCCACAAGTGTGTGAGGTCTCCTTGAGTAGAGAAACAAATCCAGGGATGCTCATATAGGTATGAGAAAGAGCTTTATATCAAGAAGTAGTTATGTATCAAAGTCCAGTCCAAGCCGATATGGAAGAAGCACACCAGCCTGTGTGATCATGAAGGTTGATGGGAGCAGGTATCAGGTATCAAAAGATCCAAAACAAACAATTATATTGATGTGGACAAAGGGGGTTGGAGTGGAGACCCAAGGCCCATCTGTAGACAATTTGGACACCCCCCACAGAGGGGTTATAAGGAAGGGATGATTCAACCAAGGTTCAGTATAGCATAGATGAAATACACGTCATTCCTCTAGTTCCTGAATGCTTCCTCCTCCCCACTACCATGACCCAGTTCTACCTTCCAAATCCAGCTAGACTGGAGAACACAACATTGCTACAGGTAATTGCTCTTGACACATGGGATCCGAGAAAGGTAAAACCCTCAGGAACAGTAGTGGGAGTAGCAAGTAGTAAGGGAAGGGGGATAGTGGAAATGGGTTGGGGTAAGGGGGAGAAAGGGGGAACCCATCACAAGGTTGGCTATATAGCCCCCCCCAGGGGGACGAATAACAGAAATGTGGGTGAAGGGAGACAATGGACAGTGTAAGATGCAAAATAACCACAATAATATATTGTGATCAAGGATTCGGGAGAGTGAGGGAAAGAGGAGGAAAAAAAGGAGCTAATACAAGGGCTCAAGTAGAAAAATGTTTTCGAAATGTTGATGGCCACACATGTACAAGTGTGCCTAATACAATTGAATGATGGGTTGTGATCAGATTTGGAAGAGCCCCACCAAAAAAATGATTTTAAAAAAGTGACAGTCCAGGCCAACTCAAGTTCCCAGGTCCCTCATCAGACCCACGCAGCCACATGGAGTTGACTCGGAGTTCAGGAGGATCGCTGGCTGGTG